CATGCCGACTGGTTCACCAGCAGCAACCGCAGCGTTGTAGGCCATCAAGGCTTTTTTATGTCCACTCATGAGTCCTGGAAAAAAACAGAAACACACACAGTGGTGCACAATACAGTAAGAAGTTGCTGGATTGTTTCAGAGTGGGAGTTCAGGCTGTTTCCAGGAAGAATGCTGGCTTTTCCACAAACCACGCCAAAGCTGCAGCCAAATCTCTACCACCACAGCCCACACGGCTCCATGTCGGTCCCACATTCATTTCTAAAGGAGCATTTTTTTGGCACTGCGCAGGTGAATAAATGGAACTCATGTTCTTAGCATGTCACCCTGGGTGTCATACTTTACTTGCGTTGTAAAGAATGTCTTCACACATTCTCAACTCTTAGCTCCTGTATGAGAGAGCTGCAGTAGGAGCTTTCTTTAGCTAAAAGGGCCACCTGTCCAAGCTGTTATGCATGAGAAAACCAGCTATGAAAATTCTCTCAAGACCAATTATGCAAAGCAGTTTAACTTCCCATTAACAGCTTGGTTCTGTAACACCCATCACTCGGTGTGAAGGCAAAGTCAGACATCATGGCGCTGTAGCATCTTAAGTTTGAGTTGAAGAAAACCTGCTACCATATATCCTGCTGGGACCCCCTGGGGTTGACATGCCGATTTTGGCAGCCTGACAGAGGGAAAACAAACAGATGAAAGGTCAGAGCTCAGCGAGAAAATGCAAAGTGATGCACCTTGAGTGTGACACATGGTATTTACAGTTTAACTCAGGCCCGCCCCCTTCCTTGTGACCTTTCAGATGACCTCATTCCAGCATGGTCAGAGGAGAATGTCAGTATCCGTGTTCCCACCTCTGAACACACAGCCAGGCATAAGCTACCGCATCTGACTAGAAGCTGAACCAACAGTGAACAGACGTGGATGAAATCCCAGTGGTGCTCTCACTGCTGTAATAAGTGATAGCTCAAGCTGAGGAGCTTGTGAGTGGACAGAGGACAGAGCTGTCATCGTGCAAAATGGGTGCCAGTGAAAAGGGGACAGCTAAGACCAGAAAGCCTCATGACGGGCCTGGACTGAAGAGCACAGATCACCAGGGACAGCAGCTGCATTAACTCTTCAGTATCTGGGACAATGAAACAGTATAGTGGGCATTATAGACTAAATGCCAGGGTACATAACAGTAAATGGCAATCAAATATTAGTCATCAGTGACATGTCGTTGATATAAACATCACACTAAAGAATATATATAAAGAGCAATTTATTTGTTATTGTTGCCTTATGCACATTTTGGTCAAGTGAAATAACAGTAAATGTAATATCTTTCTGCCTGAGGGTTGCACAACTCAGCCCAGGTTCCTCAAAATGTATTACCTTTCCCAGTTATCTTAAACTTGAGAAGACGCCACTGACGCTTGGAGTAGATGGCATTCCAGCTCTTTTCATTTTAACCCTTACATACAGTTTTGGGTCAAATTTGACCCGTTTTAGCATCTGACAGCAGTTAAAAAAAATAAAAAAAGTACCCTGAAATTTGATGAATTTTCCTCAAGTGGCTCAAAATACATATAAATGAAAATATTCTAAATAGTTACACTAGTGTACCGGTGCTACAAATTTTTGTACACTGAGGCTGTTTCGGGTCCAAGTTGACCCATATATCCATTGAGATGAATTTTAGATCTACCAGTGTGGGTCAATCTAGTAAAATGTTGGTTGTAGGGAATCTTGAAACTGTAAAACTGCACAGACCATGTTTTATGTGTATTTTTTATATACATTTATCAATGTGACATAGGCTATGTAGACATTCTAAATGGATTTGTAGTTTAAAATTTGGCATAGACACCTACTATAAGGGAATTGGAGACAGGAACTCAGGAATAAAATATGAACAGTGTGTAAAGGTTAAACTCTGTAATGACAACAACAATGAACTGTCACTACTGACAGGATACAATCACCACTTCTGGGCATGCAATTCATGAGAAAAATATTAAATTCTGCTTCCAAAACCAAGGTTTGCAATAACTGGTGAGACATTTCTGCCAAGACCAAGTCAGTGGACTAACCACCAGACAGACTGCATTGCAGTCCGTGGCCATGCCGTCAATGTGGCTTCAGATTCAATGTTCCTGAGCGCTCTGAGAGTAGTTTTTCAAGCAAAGACCATTGTTAAGTCATAGGATCAAACTAATTATTGTGTAGTATTAGACTGCACCATCTGTTGCAGGCTTTGTGTACATACATGTCCTGTTGGTCCAGGGTAAACCCAAGATAAAGTCATCAAAGTGTTAACTCTGACACCACAAACATGGACTCATCTCTTTTGTCTATTTGTTTAAAGCCAGTTCGGAGACTGGCAGTGCCTCCAGCCGAGCAGGTGTACTAAACCACTAACTGAAGAGACACTGGGACACCCCCCAGAAACAAAACACACACACACACACACAGGTCTTTGATCCCCAACCAAACAAGACTAGACAGGTTTGGGAGTGACCTCGCAAAAGCATTGTTACACCACCACTTTTCAGCTGTTCTGCAGTCCAACAACAACAAAAGAAAATCAGTGGAAGTTCAGCCAGGTGGAGCCAGAGCTGGTTTGGATCTGTGCACTGCGACAGATCAGACTGTCATGTCTCGGGGCACACAAGACAGTGCAACATGAGCCAAATCAAATGTCTCTCATGCTGCCTGAGCGTAATGAGGGTTAATCGCTCTACAGCTGCAAGTAAGAACAGACTCTTCAATCAGCAGGCGGCAACATGGCAGCATCAAACTGTCACGTTAAGGCCCGGTGGCACCACTGACGGGTTTCAAGGTTGCGCATGACTAATGTAAAGGGTAAACATGCCACACGTGAAGCTGTGGAAGCTCATAGATTTGGTAATGTGACCTCCTCAGAACAGTAGCAATAAACTGGTTAATGCACATAAAAGAAGTGATTAATGTGCATCATTTGCTACTTTCAGCATATGACACCTAATATCAGCATCAAAATCAGCATTCAATGAGTTAAACTCTAGTCACACACAGAGAGGAAGATATACAGCAAAAACACTCCTTTGGCTTCCAGCTACTTGGCTATGAGAGCTTGGTGTTGTCCCTATTTAACCTTTACGAAAGCACTTGGTTCCAATATCCTGCAACCTGCAGCTCTCTTACCTTGCCTCCTGTGTTTTCTCAAGCGCCAGAATACAATAAGGCTGACTAAGTGCCCCAAAACCACCAGGGCAGGGAGAGTGGGTCCTGGGGGGCTTGCAGGCATTTGTTGGGACAGAGAGAAGATAAGGTAGAGGGGATAAGGAAACGAGGGCTCAGGCTGTCATGACAGGTGGGCCTTCAAGAGGAGGGGGGTGGGAGAGGAGTGGGACAGCATGGGAGTGGCAGGGACGTTTTAAAAAAAGGACGGCCCGAGCAGGAATTCCTGCTGTTTTCCCCACCCTGAAGCTATTACTGAAAGATCTGCTTCTCCTGATTGTTCAGCTGTTTTCAGACCTTTATGACACAGACCAGAAGGTTAATATGTTCGACACTGTCACATTTTACATGAGCAACTGAGTGTTTACAGGTTTCTGTAGTACCTACTAAAACGGCTTGTCAAATAAAAAAAATATATATATACTGTATGCCTTTCCTAAAACACACAAAACCAGAACAACAATTAATCTTGTCATTGTTTTCAAGATCTAACTTTTGCTATCACCTCAGTTTAACTGATTCCATAATGTGTTCTGACTGATTCTCTGTCGCACCTCTGTGACTCATTTCATTGAATTCCATTGAAATAACAGTTCCACGTTATCAGCAAGGATAGGTCTGCTATCGGCATTCTTGGCTGATTAGTAATTTCTAAGAAACAATATCAAACCTAATAAAGCAATAATCTGCAAACATCCTCAGGCATTTTCTTGTCTGACGTCTAAATTGAAAAAGACTTTGTGATATTTACAACATCCTTCAAAAGTCTTATTGCTGAACATATTTAAACAGCAAACGATAAGTGTGTTAAGTCTTGTTGTATGACAACTGGATAGGTGATGTCGCATAAAATGTAATAGAAATCTTGTCTTTAGTTTCAGAAACAATAACACATGCACTTTAGGAGATTACAGAGTATTGTGCGAGACAAAAGCAGGTGGTTGTGTTTTTACAGCAATCTGAAATAGCCCAGACACACACAGTCGGCTGTCTCATTCACACACCCACACACACACATAAGATTTTTTAAAATAAAATACAATCTTTATCAGTCGCTGCTGATTGTTGACATCTATCAGATGTCGCAAGAGTGAAGGAGGGGTGAACAAACTACCCACTGACCTTCCACCCCCCCACGCTCCCTGTCCTCACCCACTTCCATCTACATACCATGGAATAAAGGAAAATATAGAAGGCAGCCAACCGTACTCATAATTGGAATCAGTCACATTGTGGACAAGTTTAAATATGGAATCCATTCTGTGCTGCAGTAGCTGAAGGTTGCTGTTGGTTAACATGGACTGTGTGTGTCTCCGTCCTGTTTGTGTGCACACCAGTTGGAACACAACAAGACTTCACACAGAGCGTTTGCCAAAAACACACCGACAGTGAGCCAGTCAGACAAACACAGACGAACACGCCACAACAACCCCACTCTGTTAACCTACCGGGTATGATCTTCATCTAAGAGACGGTACAGAGAGGAAGAGGAGGACGAGGGCGAAGAAAGAAGAGAGCTGGACAGAGGGAAAATGAGGAGGACAGGAGAGGCTCCTGTTTGTTTTCTCTGAACTGCCTTGTTTCTCCCTTGTCTTGAATTTTGACAGGCTGCGCCTGCTGCTTGGATCCGTCAGCCTGCTCTCCAGTGGCCAGGGGAGGAGGGACGACACGCCAAGCCTGGGGAAGGGGGCAGGCGCGAGGGGGCTCAGAGGGCTGCGAAGGGTGGGTGGCCAGGGGCAGAGAGAGCTGAAGTGACTGAAGGTTATAAATATCCACCAGAGCCAAATGATCACAGTGTCACAGTTAGAAACTGATGGAAGCGCTCTGGCGGGACACTTGGCTACACTCGCCCCCTAGAGACACCCCCACCAACACAAGCAAGGCCTCCCTCCCTCTCTCTTCCTGCTTCTCTCTTTGATGATGATGGTGGCAGGTTTATTCTGTGATATTAATTCACAACTCTCAGCCAGAAAACAGATCTTAGTGGAACATAACATATGGCAGAGTGATCATTTGGACATAACATTGTCGGTACATGTAAGTAGACTCAGCATGATACACATGGTTTATTAACTGATGACACAACCTACTGCTAGATAAGCGTGATAAGTATCGGGGTGGTTATTAAAAAGGAAAAAAGAGAAACATTACTCATTACTTGCTACTTTTTAAAAAGTAATATGCTACTTTACTTATTTAAGCCCTACAGAAAGTCATTTGTTCCATTTCTTGTTAAATTGCCTTTGCGTTACTCCTCTGTGATGTAATTGCCAGTTAACAAACAAGTTTACAAATGTCCACGGATCAGCACAAATCCCTATTTCAATAGTAAAACATATGCAAAATCTGTCTTTCATGCTTTCGGTAAAGTATTACCTGAAAGTCAAATGCAAAGTTGGTGTTAAATCAACCCAAAGAGCACCTCATCACAAAGTGACATGGCGAGATCAAGGCTCACTTGCATGTTCGAGACAATCAAGGTGCAAGTAGTAACTAAACTGACTTGTGACTGTAATGCAATTACTAAATTTAAGGAACGGTAATGCTTTACAACAAAGTAATGTAATGTGTTTCTTTGTAATACATTAATCCCAGTATTGAGTGTGATAAATCACAGAAAACACATCTCTGCAGTTTCAGATCCTAGATTTTACAGAAGTATTTTTTATGCTGATACTTGTACTTTTGATTTCTGGTGAAGTACGAATTTAGACTTATTCCTCCTATTACAAATACAAAAAACAGAAATAATGTATTACTGCAATGTCTAAGTGTAAATGAGACAGTTAATTGGATATGTTCAGCGTCATTATGGGAAAAAGCCCTGGCAGTAACAGTAAGTGGACAGAAATAGCAACAAACAACAGTAAATATGAAAACTGAGCGCTAATGCTGATAGAATATTTACTAAATCAGATCGGCTTCGTACAGAGTTCAGTGATGGACACTTTGAGAGCACGGCTGCTCGCACATCCTCCATTTCTTTTGGGATCACAGCAATGCACAACATTCTCTAAATATAGTAAGTTCTAATATATGCATTTGGCTTCGTCAATTCTAGTGTTGACAACCGTTTCCATTTCTCCATCAAGCTAAAAGCAATTCCTGCACAGTGTCTGGAGAGTAGAACTAGGGCCGGCTTCTCTCGTGAAACGTGAACACTATAGGTGGATGGCACATAGCGAAATGAAAGCAGCTACCGAGAAACCATGAAAGAGATTTACAGAGGATCGCAGGGAATTCCTCCATCAACATCCCTATGTGAGGCATTCACACACTCCTGAACTCACCAGGCCCTTCACACACACACATCGCTCATGCTAGGATGTATAGCTGAAAGGTATTCTAAGCTTGCGCTGAGGGAAGGAAATATGTCTTGTCTCACTCTACACTTATAGCATGCAGAAGTTTAGATTTGTAAACATTGCTTTCCTCTACGTAATAACCAATCTTGTCCCAGCAGGTGGTGGGGATTCTCTTGAGGAAATACAGCATAAAGTGAGGATTTAAAATGCTTGGATGAACTTCAGGATGAGGCTACAGCATCTGACTGAATGCTAAACACGTGGAGGTTCAGGAAAACGTGCAACTATCCCTCCATCGTTCCCACAAAACTGAAGTCATGTTAGTGAGCCTGTCTTCTAAGGCCCGACGTGCACCCTAGGAAATGACTAATGTCATAACCATCTTGACCAAACCCTCAATGTATTCCACATGTTATCGATCGCTGTGTTTCCAAGGTTTGGCCTGCGGTGACTTAACTGTTGCTTTGCTACAACAGATTTCTGATTCTGCGTCACTGTTCAGCCTCCAGTCATTATGTTGCAACAGACTGATGGTTAAATTTGATATCAAATACTTTGCCAACACAGCAGTTAAAAGTGGCAACTCAGACTCCAGTGTTGGAAAACAGCACCGGTTAATAGAGGGGGGTTTGGTTGCTCATTAAACTTGGGCACACTCTATAATGCGTTCTTTTTCTAGCCCTTACAGGATTTCACAAATGTTGCATTTGTATCAGGTGAACTTCAGAATCAGTTTTAAATGTCATAAAGATCCTGATTCTCTTCTGATTCTTATTTGTGCCATCATTTTACAAAAATAATGCAAAAACCAGCAGCTGTATTCTCAAATTTCATCCTGTGTTTTCAGTGGCACGCACTGCTGAATCAACATCGTTTCCTTGTCAAAATGTTTGCTTGGTGTACTTATGTCCCAGTTTGTTAAATGTAGACCGACATGTTCTGGAGGTGATATCACAAGCAGGAACAGCAGTTAAAGATGCACGGCAGCTAAGATCGTTTACTTTGTTTTGATCAAAACATTGCTGTTGGCTAGCAGCAAAAACAGATGAAGGAGATATTATATTAAAACTAAAACCTATACTGCCAGATTACAACTCCATTAGCACGAGTTGGTGCGACGGAATGAGCTGAAACTTTCATTATGTCTCTCAGTTTCTTTCCCAGCCACATGATTCAAGCTTCTCGATTTGAGAATGGTCCGGGTGAGTCACAACACTGAAATGATGTGCCACCATAATGAAAGGCACAGAGCTGCAGCACACTGTAGCTGTTCATTTAACCAATCACACAAATATGCACCGGGCAGGATTTCAGAGATGAAAACATGGAGGACCTCAGTGGCATGTCTGGGATGTGATTCAGTCTAATTGCCCCTGGTGCCATGTGTGGGCAGAGTTTAAACAGTCTCTCAAGCGTGTCCAGTTCATTCAAAAATGCTTCACTGCAAAGCTTTTGTTTGAGCGCATACTGCAGCGTCCATTTGACAGAAAATCAAGAGTGCCGCATGCAATGTCACAGTGTTCCCCTGAAGTCTTAACCAGCTCAAAGAGTTCTAAAAGCAGCATTTTTGTGGCATAAGTCATATTTTTTTTTTCAAAAACTTTCCTTCTTCCTGGTTTTCACATCACTGTTGCAATCTAGAAACTGAAACTGCAGCAGGACAAAAGTAGACATACCTAACTGCAAACATATTCAAGGGTGTAACTGAGTCTACTGACAGACATTTAATTAGCTAACATACCAAGAATACCACGCTCAAAAGGATAACAGCACGAAAAACAGCTCTATCTAACACTTCACATTATATCAGGGGTTCAATCTAAAGCTCTTTTGGAAACAATCGAAGCCTGATCACAACAGATACAACTTGCCTTCTTCATTACATGATACATAATGTGCGTGACTTAGAGCTTTATTAAAACACCTCTGACTGTAGCTGCAGCATTTGGTCTGCGTGACAGATGAGGATAGTTGATAATGGACAGCAGATGTCAGCAGTGCACTGCTGTGCCATATCTGAAAACACATCAGACAGACCTCCACAATTAGGAGTGAAATTAAAATCTTTGTGAATACATACCATTCCAACTCTCACTTCTAAGCGCAGTTCAAGTTTTTATAGATGCTGACATTTGCTGCGGTAAATTAAGCTCTGCTGTGTTTGTGAGTTGTATATGTTGGTGTTGCTGTGTGTGTGAGTCATAAAGATGGTCTCTAATTGCAAAAGGGTCTGATTATCCTGATGAGTTCCATAGATTGAATAAAGGAACCAGGCTGCTAATTGAATCCAGATCCGCTGTCACGTGTGGATCCAAACAAACACACCCATAGAGCTGTGAGCAAGCTATTCCAACTTCCTGACTCTTTGTCCGTAGCTCACACCCACAACAGACAACGCCCATGCAAATGTCCTTACTACACCCCCTCTTAGGGCTACAGAAATGCACATGACTAAAAATCCCAACATTCTCTTTTTTTTAAAGTTGTGAAATATTAATCATCATCCAAAAATCTGGAGTCACATGAACACACTTAGGCATCAAGCTGTATTATGAGCAACAGGAGTTTCACTTCAGCAAAATTGACCACAACAATATATGGCACCATGTTCTGGACTTTCTCTAACTTGTTTTTTTTTCTCCTCAAATCCAGCAAAGGAGGACAGCATACAATACTGTTATCACATTGCCTACATACCTCCCATATCCTAGACATACTGTTACATAATGGTTTGCAAGGGGCATGCTTATCTCTCACACAAGGCAAGCTGAAAAGAGAAGTAAGAAAACAACCACAGAACAAAAACCAGTGCCAAGAACTCGGATTTACTGGAGCAAAGTGGAGAAATACTCCCAAGAGCACCACACCTCCCTCTCTTCGTCATTCTGGCTTCAACTAGTGCACAACTGTCTCTACAGGGAGCAGGCGAGGCTACATCTCAACAAACTGCCCCACCTTGTTGGAATGACTACAGGTCTGCATAATACTACTGGCAAACACTCAGAGATGGCTCTGGAGATTATTGTTTCCACACAAACATTGTGCAGAGCTTAATTTATTGCCCAACAGAGCTGGAATTCCCCACCCAAAAAGTGTGATTTTTTTTTAGAGATAAAATATTTCAATAGAATGAGAATTGCCACTGATGTATGTGAAGGTATAGAGCATTAGTTAAAGTTTTACTTGGCACTAAATGCTGCAGCAAAATGTAGCATTTTAAAGTGTAATTTTCCATTGTCATTATGTGTGGAACAGGAATCAATGCCATAATGCCTTTATGAAATCTGACAGCAACCATGAATACATTAGACAGTATGCTATGGCAGTGTCACTGATACCTCATCTATTTTAACACACAGATAATTAAATCACAGCCACATATCAATGGTCTCTTCTCACTATCTCACTGGAACTACTCCTAAAGACAGCCTGCTTCTAGTCCGCATCAAAAAACACACGCTAGGCTCTGTAATATGTAACTTTAAGCCACAGACTATAATCAAATCACCCTAAATAACACTTTAGAAGAGAAGTCGGAGACAATTACAGAATGCGACTGTTATTCCGAGTACCAAATGCTGTAAGTACATGATAATGTGAAGCAACAATACCCTGCCTAAGACCTCCCACACTTCAAAGAAAGGTGGGATAGTAGAGCAATTGCATCACATGCACACATGGATCAGGACAAGTCAGGAAGTAGGTTAATTGGCACACATTCAAACAAACCTTCAATGAAGTTAGGCCACGTCTTCTCCTCTGGCTCCTCCAGCGAGTGGTCCCAGTCTGCTTCAGGTGAGGCTCCTTGCACCTTGACATCCGGCGCCCCTGACAGGAGGGCTCGCTCTATAGCGATTGCTTCCAGAACATCCAGGTCCAGTTCTTCTCCTTCCACCTCAGCTTGCACAGATGGAGAAGGTGCCTGCTCCCCTGCTCCTTCAGCATTGACAAGCTGCTTCACCTCAACTATCTCCTCCACCACTACAATTTTCCTCCTCATGGCGGCCTCGTCTATGTCAGATTGTTCGGACTCACAGGTGTCGTCCAGGTGAGGCCGGTCAGGCTGGGCTATGGGTGTGGCAGTAGCAGAGGGTGTGTCCTCCTCCAAGTCCTTCTTCTTCGCTTCCCTCTGCTTTAAGGCCTCAGAAACAGAGAGCCTTTCCTCTGTGCTGCACTCTGCTGCTTGAGTGGCTGAATGTTGTGCAACTTTGGGAGGCTCCTCTTGCCTGGTGAGGGGGCTGGCCTGTGCCTGAGCTACAGCTGCCTCTGCTGTTACTGCTGGTGCTGCTGACGCTAATTCTCCGGCTGCGAGTGCTTCCCTCGCAGTGGAGGATGTTTCTGGTTTCGGAACCTCCCGCTTGATTTTTTCAGCAGAGAGCAGTGCTGGCTCCACCTCTCCTTTGTCTGCTGGGGCCTTAGAGAGCACAGCTGCTGCCTGCCCAACTTCCTCACTGCACATTCTTTCAGGAGTCATCTTTGGAGAAACATTCGTTTCTGTCAGTTCAGAGGCCGTGACAGGGCTGTCTTTAACTGCAGCCTTTGGCAATGATGTAACGTCAGTGGATGGGACAGGCTTTGTGTCTATAGTCTCTGATTGTGTTGCTTTAGCCTGTTTTTTCCCTTTCCCCTTCTTCTTTCCCTTTGAAGGTTCCTCTACAGCTTTCTCTGTACTTATTAAGGATTTTGCCTCAAATGTAGGTTTCTGAGATTCCGACAGCAGTGCAGGGATTTTCTCTTCAGGTTTAGAGCTTGTTTGCAGGGGTTCCACTTGAGTTATTTTCTGTGTAGTCACTGTTTCCACTCTCGTGGCAGTCTTTTTCTCAGATTTCACTGTCTCCGTGTGAGGCAATGCAGCCTTTACCTTGCCCTCAGGGGATAATGCTCCCTGTGTAATCTTGCTGATACTGCTTCCATCAACGTCGTCTTTTACTTTCACGTCCACTAGGGGCAGTGCAGGGATTTGACATAATGGTGGTGAAGCTTCTGTAATAATTTTCGTCTGTTTAAGGGCCTCCTCCTTTGGCTTCTCATCTTTTTGTTTTGGGGCTTCTTTTACTTGCTCTTTATCAACATTTAATTTTGCCTCAGCCTTATTTTTTCCTGCTGGTTTTATGCTGGTAGACACAGTTAAAGGTTCTGAAGTAATAACTGGTGCAGGTTGGATGATTATTTCTGCCACCTCTTCTGGGGACTTGTCTTCAGAGGCTTTTTCCTTTGAGTTAGGTGGATTTTCCGCATCAGTGCTCTTGGATTTCTCACCTAGATTTTTCTTTTTCTTTCTTTTTGATTTTGAGCTTCCCTCAACCACTTGTTTGGTTTCTTTAAGCACCTCTGTCACAACACTTTGAGCAGCCCGATATGAATCGGGGTCTTCTTTTTCTGTTGTAGGACCCTGCACTGAATCTTTAGAGGCCTCCTCTGACAGGATTGCTTTATCTTTCTTGACAAGAGGAATCACTTTCACATCAGTTTTTCCCGCTTCTGTAATCATCTCTGTTACTGTAGCTTTCCCTCTGACAAGCTGTGCATCTTCAGCACTGGCCAGAGGTGCTGAGAGGGTCTTAGTTATAGTAGTTTCAGTTACTGTAGTGACTTTCTGGGCAACTTCATGAGTTTCAGGCTTTGCTGAGTGACTCTCTGGTGTTTCTTTAGCCTGAATAGGCTCCTGAGTCATTTTAACTTTGGAGATTCCCTCTGTTGCATTAGTTGGCTCCACTGATTTGTTCATTGTGCTGTCAGGTTTGGGTTTGGTGGTGTCCTCAGTGAAAGTTACTTCAGCAGTTTTTTCTGCCTTACCTTTTTCTGTTTTGCTTTCAACTGTAACTTGGGACTTTATTTCTGTGGGTTTAAGTGATTCCTCATTAAGCTTTGCTTTCTTAAGCTTCCTTTCTTCAGGAACTGTACTAACAGGTTTTGTCATGGCAGAGCTGACAGTGGCAGTGTCAGTAGGTGGCGTCGAGGTTTCCTGAAGAGCTGCCATTGTAATCACTGCTTGAGGCCTAACTTTATCAGATGCCACATCGACTGTTGTTTTAACTTGTGCAGACTTCGGATCCACAAGCACCTTTTCTGTCTTTTCTTCTGTACCACCTTTGCCAACAAATTGTGTGATGACAGTGCTGGCAGTGACAGGAGGAAATCTGGAGGTTTCCACAACAGAATCTGTAGTAATATCTGGTTTGGGCATCGTTTTTTCAGGTGCTGTCTTGGCCGTAGAATTGACCTCTGCAGACTTAATGGGATCCACCATCACCTTTTTCGTCTTCTCTTCCTTGATATCTTTAGCAGATTTTGTGCTGTCAGTGGCAGTGACAGTAGGAACTTTGGAGGTTTCCTCAACAGAATCCACTGTAATGTCTGGTCTAGGCTTTACTCGTTCAGGTGCTGTTTTAGCTGTCACATTGACCTCTGTAGATGTAATGGGATCCACAGCCACCTTTGTCATCTTCTCTTCCTTGACACCTTTGTC